AAGTGGGATGTAGGTGTGTGAATTTCTAGGGGTTCTCTTTTGTTCCATTGTCCTATGTGTCTATTGCTATATTGGTACCATACTGTTTTGGTCTCAGTAGCCTTGTGGCATATCTTTAATTTTGAACGGTGGTGCCTCCATCTTTGGCTTCATTGTGTTAAGAATATTTTGAGTATTCAGAGCCTTTTGTGTTTTCATAAGAATTTTAAGATTTTTTTCTTATTCTGTGAGGATATCATCAGCATTTTGATGGGGACAACATTGAATTTCTAAATTGTTTTGGGTAGTTTTGATATTTTAATAATATTGATTCTTCCAAATCAAGAATATATGAGGGAATTCCATTATTTTCTGTCTGCTTCATTTTCTTTCATTAGATTCAATGTGTTTGAATTTCATTGAAGAGGACTTTCACATCCTGGTTGAACTTATCACAAGGTATTTAATTTTTTGTATCTGTATAGAATTGGATAGCACTTACCAATTCTCATCAAGATGGTTGAGTATATAAGGCCATTGATTTTGGAATTCCACACTGTGTACCTAATAGAAAATTACGAATCCAGAACACATAAGGAGTGGAAATACTTCCCCTGTCAAGTGGAGGCCTCGCAGCAGGAATGTGGGATTTCTCTGGGTCATGAATGGGGATGTGAATGAGGGGTTGCAGGTGTTTGTTATGTGTGGATGCTGTGTGTGATCCATTCCATCTGTGCTACTCTGACATTAAACACACTGCTTATCTGTCCCCAGTGTGCAGGGGACATTGGGTGACAATGACAGTGACTCTAATTCAGCAAGGGCAAAAATGGAGGCTACAAGGAAGTCATGAATCCAAAAGTTTTCAAGTTGAGATGGGTAAATCCAACAGGACTTCCTGGGATAGGTTTCAGGGCTGAGGACTAATTCTCTGTGACGTGGGGCCATGCCTCTGGGTCTCAGCCTGCATATACTTCCATCTTCATTTGATCCAGTAATCATGCTTTCTTCTCACACTCTTCTGATGTTTGTCCTCTTCCTAGTGTCAGCAGCCTTCTCTTGGTTGTTTTGCGCATACACCTTACCTGAGTCAGTCTGCCAATGCCCCATGCTTGGCTATGACCACTTTACGAGGGTCTGTTCTCATGATCTCAGGCTCCTCAGGAAAATCTTTATTGACCTGATTTCCATTGGTCATTGTGGAGTTTACTTTTTTATCTTTGAAACTAGCAGCATTGCCTTGCAGAAAAGCTGGGTCCACAGATGTCCAGAATGAATCTCTACTCTCCCTGGCTCCAGGAGATAAAAAGAAGAACATGGATCTCCATACAGAAATGACCTCCATGAGGTCTGACACTCTCTAGCATTGCAGCAGAGGAGAAATCCTGAGGGAGAATCCCAGAGGTAAGGGACCCCACAGGACAGGCAGGGCTGTGTTAAATACTCATTCACCTTGTGTGTTCTCTGCTCCCATTCTATCACCCAGTGATTGAAAACAGACAGAGAATACATAATGGGACAATAGAAATGTGGGAAAAGCTGTGTCCAAGGAATGACCCTCATACTTTTGTTTGTTTTTAGCAGCAGAAATAGCAGTGCTTTATCCGAAGTCCACAAAACCCAACAATGCATTCTTGGAAGACAAGAGCCATGCTCAGCACAGGGAAGCTGGAGGTCAAAGCTCTCCTACCATCAGGTGCTGTGGTGCTGAAACAACCTCTTAGTCTCTATGGAGCTCAGGTTCCTCATCAGTAAGGTAAAGTGTGTATTGTTCCTCTCTGAGGTCCTGCTGCTTAGGTTCCTCTGAGTCCCTGGGGAACCACACGTGCCCTGGGAACTGAGGCTGAGAGCTGACCTAGTCCCTCCTGTGTCTCCTCCCAGATCCGGAGCTGAGTCCACATCCTGAGAACCCAGAACTGAAGGTGCAGATGAAGGAAGACGAGCAGCTCTCTGGGACGTGAGAATGACCCAGAGAATGATAAGGTAATGTTAGGGTGAAACCAAGTGTGGGTGAGATGAAGGACACATTGTGTCAGAAACCTCAGGGGATACTCAGAAAGGCCTACTCCACTGTCCAGCCCCTGAAGGAGCCGCCTTCCATGAGCACTGACGTCAGGAGAGAAACTGACTCCACAGTGAACCTGTGCACCTGGCCAGGGAGGTCCCTGGATGGAATCAGAGCAGGTTTATGCTGAACACAAGCTTTCCATGCAAACTACAGATCCTGGTAACTTCAGTGTCACCACCAAAAAAAAAGAGAGAGAGAGAGAGAAAGCACACCCTTCCTGCCCTCTTCAGCTAGGTACATTTTTCCACCCATACTCAATTCTGCCATGCAACACACAGCAAAAAACATTAAAATGGCAGTGGTGCAGTTCCACAGCCCCAAAGTAAGGATCCCCACGATCCCCACATGGGGCCAAGACCTATGTACATTGTTCACAATGCTTTTGCTTTCTCTGTGCTATAGTGTGAAAGTACAGAACTCAGTAGCTAAAATAATTAATCATTCATCTGAGAAATTGGAAAAGGACCTGAGTAGACATTACTCCATGAAAGGAATACGCATTGCTACCAGGTTTATGACAAGTTGCCCATTATCAGTACTCATCAGGGAAACACCATTCCAAACCATAGAGGGATATCCCCTCAGAACCATAGGGTCAGCTGTTGTCACAAAGACAAGAGAGAATAAATGTGGGCAAGGGTGTACCAAAAAGGAAACACCTTTACATTATGTGTGGGAATGTTGAGTGGTATGGCCGTTATAGAAAACATTATTGAAATATTTTTGAAATGTTAAACTAGAACTGTCAAATGACCCATTCACCCTCCTTATGGGTATATGTGCAAAGAAAGAAGAAACAAAAAACCGTATCAGCATTTAGTAGATATACCTGCAATCCCTAGTCGATGCCTTATTCATAGAGGCCAAGATGCAAACTGCCTACATGTCCATCAACAGAAGGTTGGTTAAGCAATCTTGCTGACTCTACATTTGGCTTGGAAAGTATATTTTAATAAAAGGATACTACAGACTTTCCATGACACTTTGGAATCACTTGAAGCTTTTGAATCACTCTTATACATGTCTGTGTATAGATATTTATATATGTATATTATGTGTAATACTACATTATACATGATAGATACATAATGATACTTAAATATATATATTTATATGATGGAAAGCTATTCAACTCAAAGATAAAGGAACTCCTGTCATTTGTGAGAAACTGGATGAAATTGGAGGACATTATGGTGAGTGAAATAAACCAGATATAGAAATAATAACACTGCAAGTCTGTCATGTGTGGAGTCTGAAAGAAAAAATGGAAAATGGTTGAATATGTCGAAACAGAGAATATAAGAGAGGTCTTCAAGTTGGTGGAGTGGGAAGAATAGATGTTGACCCAAGAGTACAAAGTAGTAGTTATAGAGAAGAACTAAATCTAGGGTTCTGAAGTTAAGCATGAGAATCTGAGTTATTCGTGGAGCATTCTATTCTCCATTAGAATGAGAAAGTCTGAGAAATTTCTAACAGTAGATTTTGTGGGTTCTTACCATGTGCAGGCACATAAAGGTTAACTGTGAGATGATGAATATTTTATTTACTAGTCTAGAGGAATCATTACACTATGGATATGTACATTACAATATAATTTTTAAATATTTTAATAATTATTTTAAAAGATGTATTATTCTATTTGAAAAGCAGAGTTACAGACAGAGAGGAACACACACACACTGAGAGGGAGAGACCTTGCATCTTCTGTTTCACTCCCCAAGTGCCTACAACAGCCAGGGCTGAGCCAGGCCAAAGCCAGGAGCCCAAAATGCCATCTGGGTATCTCACAAGAGCTCAAGGGCCAAGGACATAAGCCATGTTCCACTGCTTTCCCTGGCACCTCAACAGGGAGCTGGATCAGCTGAAAGTGGAGCCGCTGGGACTCCACCAGCACTCATAGAGGAGACCAGTGTCTCAAGTGGTGGCTTAACCCACTATGCCACAGTGGAGACTCCTACATCTATTTAGACATCAGAATTTAAAATTTCAAAAAAATCCCAGTTTTGATCATCCCCTCAAATGGAAACCTTAAAATGTGCATCTTTTGGGACTGGCATTTCATTCAGCAGTTAACTGGCTTTTGCAATGCTCACATCCTATATTTGAGTGGGGGGTTTGAGTCACCAAAGGGTTTCCTGTCCAGATTCCTGCTAATGTGCACCCTAGGAGGCAGCATGTGATGGATCAAGTATTAGATCTCTTAGTTCTAACGGTACAGTTCAAGAACTTGCCATAGGACCTTAAAATCCCTTAAGCTGCCTGATAAAAAGAGCAGCTTCAGTGTTATAGAGTACATGGATAGGATTAAGTGGTAAAGTGAATATAGAGATAGGATCAAGTGTTAAAGTGATCATATAAATAGGACAAAGTGTTTGGAAACAATAATAGAATTCAAAAGGAGTGAAGAGTCTAATAAGAAAAGTGGTCCATACCGCAGACTCACAGAATGAGTAGCACTGTGAACTCAAAATATCACCTGGTTCCTGGTTTTATTCAAAGGGCAAAAAGACAGAGAAAAGAGATCTCCTATTGACTGGTGTGAACCTAGGAGGCCTGAGCTAACCTGGGCCTGGCCAGGCTGAAACTAGGACAGGGTCCATCAGGATCTCCCACATAGACTGCAGTGACACAAGTACTGGAGCCGTCACTGCTGCCTCACCGTGTGTGCACTACCAGGAAGCTGGAGGGGAGAGCAAAGCAAGGACTCGGTCCCAGACACTCTGATCCAGGTGTGGGCACCCCAGGTGACATCTTAACTGCTGTGCCAAATGCTTGTGCCAATTTCAACCTCTTAGAAGAAAAAATAGTACAAAGTCTTTCAACTTGAATTAGATTACATTTTTTAGTTATTATACCCAAACTACATGTAATAAAAGAATAAATTCATAAAGGTCCCAATATGTCTAATTGCCTGTTCAAAGTCATTGATAAGAAGATGAATAGACAGGCCAACACAGGGAGAAAACATTTTGAAATTGCATATCTGGTATAACAATTCTTTTCAGAGAACTGAAAGAGCTCTCTCAAAATTTCATTCAGAAAAATGAAATGACACATTTATCAAGGAAACGTAAAATTCACCATTTCAAACAGGTAGAAAAGCCTTGAGATCTCTTTAAACAGCAGGTGGGGTGACTTCCTAACAGCCCTGAGAAAGGAAGGCTTGTTGGGACACATTTTCTGTCTTGGTATTTTCATACACATACATGACTATACGAGCGATACATGCTTAGGTGATTTGGGGACACGGTCTGTGGTGTCAGGGCAGGATCTATAACTATGAGACTGGCAGATGGGTAGGTTGTCCCCACCAGTGGGGGTCTTGTGCCTCAACCTAGCTTAGGCCCCTGGAAGGCAGACTTCCAAAGATTCCATGACACGCTCCACCTTCTAATTCTGCGATGGCAACGGCAGACCATTAGCTGCCACACAACAGCCAGTCCTAGCAGAGACTGAGCTACAGGCAGTGCCTTCAATCTAGGCTTTGGCAGTTTTATCCTTGTTTGTCCAGTGAAGAACTTCCCAGTGTCATCGGGCTGTGGATCAGGTGTTTCACATCAGTAAGTGAAGCTGGTTATTGTCACCCCTCAAGCCTACCTGAAACTCTTGGATGTCATTTGTTTGACCCTCGCCTGTGTTTGGGTTTCCTCTCCCCAGTCCCTGTTGTCCTGCTGTGACACACCATCAGCATGGCAGGATCCCACAGCCCTGCATCAGATCCCATGGCAGAACTGAACGACCTCGAATGCCAGCAATTGCGATCCCAGCTGGCAAAGAGCCAACAGGACTGCTGGGAGCTCCAGGAGAAGTTTCTCATAGCTGAGGCTACAAACTTTGCCCTGGCCAGGGAGCTGAAAAAATACAGTAAGTTCTCTCGGGTCATTTCACCACAGTGATGATTGTCCTGTGTCTTCTCCTGAGGAACTAAATGGTTTACCTCACTACGTGATTGTTGTCTTCTTTTTGCTGAACTTAATTTCCCCCTGACCACACTCCCAAGCTGACACACAGGGTTTCGCAAGTTTTCCAAGGTAGCAGTGAGGTGTAGGGTGACAGGACTGCTGAATCTGTCATGGAGTCCTGATGAGGCATAGAGCTGCCTGTTGTCCTCAGGGTCAGGCTCCACCATATTGAGTGCATGTTTATGATCATCCTGTCTGTGTCAGCTCCTGCAGCCTTATACCATCACTGTGGGCCTCATTTCTGGGGCTAACGCATTTCACTCAATTCAAGCTTCCAGTGAGTTCCCATTGGCAAAGCACTGTCCTAGGTCCAGAAGTGGACATGTGTTCAGAGTGAGCAGGATGTGCTTCCAGAGAGACAGAGAGTCTCCTGTGCACTGGAACTCTGGTATCCATGGGAACACCCTCACAACACAGCCTCCCCACTGGGAGAAAGTCCTGCTCCTGGAGCACAAGTTCTTCTTCCAGAAGAGGAAGACGCTGCCTGAGACCTGGGAGTGGGAGCACAGGGTGTAGGGGGGGAATCAGGGCCACTCGCCTGGGTGCTCCCCATTGCCCACCTTCTCTGTAACTTTGATTTCTCTCCCATTCATAGGTGCTATCATAATTCCTGCCTCTGTAGATTGTCACAACCAAATGCGCTCCTTCTTTCCTATACAACTCCAAGGATGGTTCCTTGCTCAGGATCAACAGAATCCATGAGGCCCTTATTGCACTGTTTCTAATTTAGCGGGAACTATACTTTTTCTTGGGCCATATTGCCTCAGGGCCTTACTTTGTTATACATTGTACTCTACACAGTTCCATGAAAGATGGTCCCTTAAGTCTGAAATAACAAACACTTGGAATCTTTCCAAATGCAAGGAAACAGTCCTACACCCTTATCAAGCTCCCAAACATACAAAAGGTGATGACTTCGTGCCCCAGGTTCCTGTTTGACCTGAGAGGCTGCAAGACTTGCTGAGTCCAGTGGCTCATGATTCAGTCTGAGCTCAGGGGCTGGGAACTCTGATTCTGTAAACACCAGTGGAATCACATTGTCAAGTCACCTTCTGTATCTTTGAAGTCCTTTTTTCTCATTTTATTGGGAAATAGCAGGGCCAGCACTGTGGCTTAGCAGATAAAGCTGCTGCCTGCAGTGCTGGCATCCCATATGGGTACTAGTTCAATTCTGGCTGGTCCACTACCAATCCAGCTCTCTGCCATGGCCTAAAAGCAGTAGAAGATAACCAACATGCTTAGGCCCCTGCATCCCCATGGGAAACCTAGAAACAGCTCTTGGCTCCTGGCTTCAGATTGGCACAGCTCCAACCTTGCAGCCATTTGGGGAGTGAACCAGGTGATGGAATCTCTCTCTTCTCTCTCTCTCTGCCTATGTCTCTCTATAAATCTGCCTTTCAAATAAATAAATAAATCTTTTAAAAATAGGAAATTTCAGATGCTATGTAGTGAGGTGATGAAATACAGATGTGAAACCCCCAATCTGGAGCCTGGCCCTGGAGTTCTTTTGGGCTTCAGCAGGCACTGACTACAAAAGCACCTCCCTGAGTTCTGTGTGTCTGTCTTTCCCCAGATTGTGAGAAGTTTAAAAACATCATTGAGTCCATACTGACCAAGAAGCTCCACTTGGAGAAGCCGCTGGCAGAGAAGCCCACGGTCCCAGAGCTGCTCAGGTAAGGGTCTCTGTGTGGGGCAGGCAGGTGGGAGGTGTGTGGGTGTCTCCGGTGGGGCAGCTCAGAAGGGAGAACTGAGGCATCTCAGGCATGGAAAGCCAAGGCACTGTGGCAAACAATGTTCTCCATGTAGGATCACTCTGGGGCCCCAGACAAAGAAGTGGCCATCAAAGGAGGATGCACTTTTCTCTAAGGGAGGAGAGAACTTCCACTTTGCTGATGGCCTTGTCTAAATACAGACAGAGTTTTCAAAATGCTTCCATAACCTAGTCAGCTCATGTCATGAGCCTTGTGTGGTCTCTGACAACATACAGAGGAGTGCTAATTGTTCAATTAACAGCAGGAGTCACTGTGCACTGACTCCCCATGCAGGACCTCTGTCCTCAATGAGTTGTATTAAAAGAGAGTTACAATGAAACATTTCTCAAACAGTTTTTATTCTTGTGTGGGTGTGTGTGCCAATTGTTGAAATTGTTACTTAATATAGAGCTGGTCTTCTGTCTACAAAGTTCATTGAAAATGCATCTTAATGGAGAATAAGATTGAGAAGTAGAGAGGGAAGAGGAGCTGGGCTGGGCATGTGGGTGGTACCCTGGGTATGGGGAGAAGAATAACTCTATTCCTAAAGTTGTCTTATGAAATGTATATTCCTTAAAATAAATGAATGAATAAATTTTTAGAAAGAAATGGTAAAAATTAATTTTACTATGAAAGTAAAAGTGAATAGGTACTTTGAAAAAATTCTCCCTTCAGGAGAAATTAAAATGAAAATACATTTTTCCCTCCTCAATTACTGTTTATTTCCCTAATAAAATGGTATGAATAGATAATAATAAAAAAAAAAGACATCATGGAGTCCACGTTGACCAAGAAGCTACACGTGGAGAGCCCCTGCCACAGCAGCCCAGGTCTGCTGAGCTGCTCAGGTAAGGCTCTCTGTGTAGGGCAGGCAGGTGAGGATGTGTTTCACTAGTGGGCAGCCCAAATCAAAAACAGCCAGCCTGTGCCAAACAAGGGCAGAGAGTTACAGCAAAGCCCCATGTCTCAGACGTTATGAAACAAGGAGGGAGCAGAGGAATCTGAATTCAGAGCTGCAAGTGCGGAGAGTCTGTAAGTAAGGTGTCCACGTGGATGGGCTCCCATGGGGCCCTCCTGTTTACTCTCTCTTCTGCAACAGGAAATCCCCGTGGCTGTGTTTCTGGGAATCCAGTCACCAGTTAGCTTTGGTCCTCTGTAGGTGGTGCTATGCCTGTTCTCTCTTCCTCCCATGTGCTCATGGTTCCCTTAGTGTGGAGGTGCTTTTCTGTGGGCACTCACCTCGAGATGGAGCTGCATTGGGTTTTCTCAGGGGAGGAGAGGGGATGCTGGACTCCTCTGTTTGGTCATCTTGCAATCAATCCTCATTTACCCTTAGTCACCATCACTTCCTGATATAGAAGACTGATGCTTAGCTTGGCCCTGCCAGACCTTTATTCTTGTTTCTTGCCATGTAACCCCTGCGTGCACCATGGTTCCCAGTCACTGCACTGTACACTGTGTGTCTTCCTACATGGAAATGCCTGTGGCTGGAAGCAGGAACTGAATTAGCACCTTTATGAAGGCAGACGAGGAAGGAAGAATCCTTGCACTGTTGATAGAAAATAACCCTAATAGAATCTCAGGAATTGTGACAAGATCTTTCTCTAAAAGTGGGAGCAAAGCCTTGTGTTGCCCTTTGCTGTTCTTGGCACAGGTATTTCTCCAAACCTGAGTGGTGATGCTGGTGGAGGGCTCTATAAGGCATTGTTATGAAAATCTGTGGAAACACAGAGAACCTAACACTCATCCCTTCCCATCTAGAACTTTCTCCACTCTTGCACCTTAGGCATTGCCGTGGCATCCTTGAAGATCAGGACCAAGAACTTTCCCAGTTACGTCCAAAGGTCCAAAGGGGGAGAAATCTAGACCACATCCTGCAGCAGTACCTGAAGGACGTGCTCACCGTGCATGACCCTGAGACCTGTACGGGGCAGGGCTTCCGACGACTGCTCACTGAGGCTGTCCGGCTGTCAGTGAGCCTTGAGGACCTGCTTGGAGCAGGTAAGCTGGGCACAGGCTGTCATCTGAGAAGCCTCCAGGGTTCAGATGCATTCATCTCTCTGCCATGGGCATTTGCCTCAGCTCTTCTTGGTACTGAACATGTGTGCCATGACAAGGTCAGCTCTGCTTGGGAAAAACAGGTAGGGGCAGAGAAGTCTTTCAAGTGTGCAGTATCCCAAAGCTCTCCTCCCTTCCTGATTGTGGTGGGCCTTTGGGGGAAGAGGCAGGGTCCATCCTCATATCAAGACCAGAAAGACCTTGTGAAGTGAGGCCGCTGTTAGGCTGAACACAGTCACTGAGCTAAGTTGAATGGAAGCCTCCAGCTCTGTGCTCAGTGTGGTTTTCAAATGGTAGACAGCTGATTGCTTTCTCCATCCAGGATTTCTCTCTCCTCATTCACTAAATGGAGCAAAAACTCTGGGGCAGAGCAGATGTAACCTTCAAAGGTGGAAGCTGTTGCTTGTATGTTTCCCAATAGGACAAAGGCCCTCCTCTCCCTGGGAGTGCCAGACCAGGCACTAGAGTTAGTAGAACTTCAGTGAGGAAAGCTGTTGAGAAGGGACTCGTAACACAGAGAGAATTTCCTCTAATGATACAGCAGAGAAAACGTGGAGGGCCTGTGAGGGAGGGATGGAAGTCGGGTTCTTTGCTTCTTCCTGACAGATGGAGGTTCTCTGTGAGACCCATGGGAACATAGAACCCATGCCTTGGACTCCCACTAGTGGCAGGATGAGGAATAACAGGCAGAAGTCCCAGGGAAGCTTGAGAAGCTTCCAGTGATATGGGAGCAAAGGATGTTGGCCTAGTTTCAGGCAGAATCTGCCATGGTTCTGATCTCCAAGTGCAGAGACACAAAACCTGATGGACCACAAGAGAATGGCAAGGTGTTTCTTTAAACACAGAACATTTGAAGTTTTTGTCCACTATTGGCCCATATGTAGATATTCATATGCACACAGAGGCCACCTTGATTGTAATGGGGGCAGTGATATTATCTGATTGGACATTCCTGAATTTGTTTACAGAAAATATTGAAGAGGAGGAAACACCAGCACAAGGACCTGTTGCTGACAGGTAATAGTGAGTGATTAGGAGCTGGCAACAAATGGGTGAAGGATGCACAGGGTCTCGTAAAGAACAGAAAAGGGGCCGAGGCAGTCATGGAGTTGAGGCACACACAGAAACACAACTGCAGATTGTGTTGAGTCCTTCCTTGCCAACTAGGAAATCCCCCTGTTAAAGTAGGTGTCTGTTGTCCTGGTCCGAGTTGCTGATAGGATCCATCATGAACTCACAGCCTTAGGTGTTGCCTGCACACAAAGGGAACCTCTGTTCTCTGCTTTCTGGAAAAGGGAGGAAGATGTGCATCTGCTTTCTACAGAGTTAGCTGAAGTTCTCACCAGAGAAAACTAACAAAGAGGCAATGGGCAAAGGGGGCAGTTAGGAAGAATCCAGCCAGGTTCAACTGCAGAAAAGCACCTCTACAAAACCATGTTTGCTGTCCTGTGACTTGGTTAAGAGAAGGCCCAGAAGGTAGCACATCTCTAGAATCTGCCAAGCCCCTAGAACCTTGATCACATGGCTGCAGGACACTGAAACAACCCAACCTGAGCACAGGGTGTCAGCCCGCGTGGCTGTCAATGTGTGCTTGTGCTGTGACTGTGCCATGCAGCGACAGTGGAGGCTGCTTCCTCATTAGCTGCTGTGTATTGAGTGTGATGAGCAGAGGCTGATCTCTTCCCAGGCCCTCTCCCCCTAGGCAGCCACACGGTGTCCAGAGTGGAGGGAACAACCTCTATGCTGTCTATGACTGATCCCTTATGCACCCCATCCAAACCAGCCACCTCCTTGGTGTCTCTTCCTTCTTGGTTTAATCTCTGTCATCCTTATCCCACCTGGCTTCTCAGGGAGCTCTTGGAAGTGGATGAAATGGAAACCCCACAAAATTCACAGCAGGAAACATCTATCACTGGTGCTGTTGACCACCTGCTGAGTGACTCCTGCCTGCCTGAGGGCACTGTGCAAATGTCTCCTGATGCTGAGGACACCCACAGTGTGCTAGGTGTAGATGGGGAACACGCTTGTTCACAAAAGAAAGAAGAACCTGTCACCGTTCTCCCAGGTAGCCTCTCCATTCTTTGTACACAATGGCTCTCAGGTTGAGGGTCACTTTTGAGCACAGGCCCTGCAGACACAAGTTGGTTTCAGTCAGGGTCCAGGTTGTGGCACTGAACATAGACATCAGGAGAGTCAAGGAGCTTCCCTCCCCTCAGATGCAGTTTGTCTCACTGCACCCTAGCCTAAGGGAACATACAGAGGCCCTGTGTAGGAAGTGCCTTTCAGACACTCTAACTTAGAAATAATGCCTGCTGTCACCCACAGTGATATCATTCTGTTCTACTACTGCATCCCTGGAGTTCTAGCCCCATGCAGGCTTTTAGTAACACTTCCCATGTGTGGGCCAAGTTGTGATCCTAGTTTCCCTACTTCCATCCCTAGTCTCTATCTCCTTTAAGACAGCTTATCTTAGCTATGCAATCATCCCAAAACCAGGATATAAAGTCTTTTATACTGTACTTCCTGTACAGTTCAAAAAACATAGCTGAATCCAGGAACGTCCCTACAAAATCAATGTTCAATGTTTCTCTATAACTGCATAGATTTATTTGTGCGAGGTATTATGGAGTTCATTCAGCCTTCTTTAGAAACTCCTCTACCCTTATTCACCATGATCAGTCTGATAGGATGAGTCAGTAACATAGCAACACTCCTAGATTTTAGATACATAAATCCTAAAGGGCCTGGGGAGAGAGCTCTTGAATTGCTTGTATTGTTCCCATAGACAAGAGGGAGATTACTCATGAGGAATGCTTAGAAGAGCCAAGATTCTGTGTGGCATCAAACAGGTTTCAATTCCAGGGCATCAGACTCCATGCATAGCTCTCTCCCAGTGTTCTACCTCCTCTCCACAGTCAGCAACCTGGGTCCTTTAATGAGAGCAGCCTGACAACTGCAGTTTGCCTCCTAGGAAGTTCTTGGGCTGTGAGCTTAGAATCCCTGAGGACCATTGCAGGCTGTTTCTAAGGGTTCTGGACAGAGGTTATTGAGATGCTGATCCAACTGTGAACAGGGAGATTTGACCCCTTGCCCAGGATGGCTCACCAAGCCCATCTCCTGATGTCAACTTAGTCCTCCTGGAGGATTTCTGTCACAGTCTCCTGTTGTCACACAAGAACAATCTGTCCCCTTGGTAGTAGTGGCCATCGGACACGCATATCTGACCAAAACCTGCTTAACCTGTTCAATCTCTCTGAATTTGTTTGCAGAAAATCAATATCACGAAGTGGAGGTACAAGAGCAAGTTGTCACATACACTTCCAGGTAACTCGGAGGCAGAGCAGACACTGTAGCATGGACTACTAGGGAATCAAAATGCTGGAGAAACTGGTCACTAGAGCCAGTTGGAACATTCAGCCAATGATGAAATGGCTCTTTTCATAACGTTCCCTTTTGCATTGTTTCCCTCTATATTCCCCCTTTGAACATCCCTCACATATTTTAACCTGTAGTCTGATGACAAAGTCACTTCTGTACCTGTGATGCATGTCTTCAGTGTCTCTGCCCTCCCATCCCAGCAGGGAGCTCCCAGAGGAGCAAGAGCGGGAAGACCCAGAGGACTCACTGGACGAGTGCTACCTCACTCCCTCGATTTTTCCGGTCGTTTCTGAGCTTGACCATTCCACGTGGAGCAGCTGGTGCTCCCTGGAGCAGCAGGACATGCTCTCTGCTCCAGATGCAAATGGTGAGTCCTCCACTGTGAGGTGATACAACCCCCTCTGCTTGCCAAGGAGCCCGCACTATCCTTGCACTCATCACTCCCACCTGACTGAGAGGGCTCCTGGACATGGGATGGTCTGAGACGTTCTCAGCATCTGTTCTTTTTCAACCAGTCTGTTGCACAGGTGTGGTTGGCCCATCCAGCCTTGCTGTCCTCCCATTCCTTGTGTGGCTTTGTCACTCAGATTCCAGTGCTCAGTCATTGCCAGAAGAATGTCACAGATGCACACCCACCTAAGCAGCACATCTCATGCTTGTCTCTGCCATCCATTCCTAATGAAGCAGACCCCTCTGCCCCCTGCAGTGTTGATCACACGAGTCATTCCCCATCCCTGTCATGTGACATTGCTTCCTGTCAGAGCCAGCAGCATGCTCGTCTCCATTGCAGTCAAGATACTCCCCCTGTTTCATTGAACCCAACCACGTTGTCTGTCCCTTCAACGTTGGCATCATTTCACCTACCACACATACAAAATGTTCTGTCATTCCTTTAGTAGTGTGTCCCCAGGCTGCAGGTCTGAGACCTGTGCTTAGAGATTCCATGAGTAGCCAAGTTTTCTCTTGTGCTGCACACATTCACTCTGATACCCAGAACTGAAAATTCACCTGTTCCACCTTTTATCTTATCCTCAATGTACAAAATATGGTAAACCACAAACTACCAAGAGAGCTTGTTTGAGAACCATGGGCACTGCACTTCCTCTCATGGAAAGGAATCACACTAGGAACCAAGCATCTCCAGAGAATATTATTTTAGATTTGATTTTACCTTATGAAAGGCAGAATTAGAGAAACAGGGAGAGAGAGAGAGAAACAGGGAGAGAGAGAGAGAGGCAACTCTTGCATACTCTGGTCTGCTCCCCACATGGCCACAATGGCATCGACTGGACCAGGCCCAGGGAGGAACTAGGAGTTTCCTCCAGGTCTCCTATGTGGGTGCAGGGCCCAAGTACTGGACCATCTTCTACTGCATTCCCAGGTGCATTAGAGGGATTTGGATCAGAAGTAGAACAGCCAGGACTTGATCCGGCATTGACATGGGATCCTGGGGTTAAAGGCAGCAGCTTTACCTGCTTGCCACAGCAACCACACTTGGGAAAATTTGTTTCATTTCTGTAGGTAATCAGGTCAGTGATTATTGGTGTGATGACTGGAGGAATAGGGAGGTTTACCTCATGTGTCAAGAAAAATGAACAAGCTAGTTCCCTCAGAAATGACCTCCACCCTCTAGACAATTCCTATCTGAGGAGTCGGCAGTGACACTGAGGATACTGGTGTGCTGTGCTAGTGCTGGACAGCGCATTGCACAGGCTTTGAGGGGATCATCCTAGATGACTGTGCCTGTTTGAATTCATTTGCAGAAAAGGAACATGACAATGATGAAATGCAAGAGGAAGCACAAGCCCTGTCACACACCAGGTGAGTCTTAGGAACCCTGGGCAGCGAGCTTAGTGCTGACCCGGGCAGACTCCAGGTCCAGAGAAGAAGAGCAGTGCCACTGTGCATCTCCCATCCATTGAGCCAACCCTGCGGCACCCCGTCAGCACTGCTGTCTGCCATCATTAGGGTACTAGTCTGGGTTTCCACTTCTCCCTAGCTTTTCCACGTAGTGACCTGCAGCAGGCTGACTCCATGAAGGAGCCTCTCCAGGGATTCCTTGCCATCGTTGCCTCTCTCGTGTGCAGTGAAGGGCAGGGTGCTGCTCACAGGTCTCCTCTTCTCATGAGCTTCTCTGCCCCCCATTAATCATGTAAAACAACCTGACAGAAACTAGTGCCTCAGCACTGAGAATAAGACTGACGGCTAAATCCGTGGTAGTCTCCAGTATCCCACAAGGGGAATTCATTGACTCTGCATGTAGTTTACATAAATCTGTTGAAGCCAGTTTTCATTTCCCAAATACTCATGGGTACTAGTGGACCAACTGAGAGTCATTTCTCCAGGCTGAGTCCCTAATGACCTCAAAACAGAGGAAATCCTCTGTTTCTCTCTGCTTCTGTCTCCATGCCCTGTCAATATCTCCGCTACTCACTTATCACCTCAAACCTAATACTCTTTCTCCAAGAAGATGAGAGTTCTGTTTGCCTGTTTACTTTAAAATGACTTCAAGCAGTACAAATAAGCATAAAGAAGTCTACAAGCACACATAGATTTAATATTTGGCTGTAGTTGATTCATGTGTAAATATTATATATCTACACATACTTACCATTCTAAGTGAAGGCAGTTGTGTTTCTGTTTTACCTGGCTTTCTGTTTGCCACGTGCTTCCTATGAGCACTTCATTTTTCCTCACATGAAAGCTGCCCTGTGATAACGTTCAGTTCATCTACTCCAGGTGGTCAGCAAGGAGCCTCCTCAAATGGAAGACATTGCATCCTGTCTGCACCGTTAGTAGCCAGTCTTCCCCAGATAGGGACAAAGTTGTGGGTGGCCCCTTGCTCAGCCCAGCCACTTCTGGAAGCCTCCTCTTGGAACAGCTTGGAAAGGGGCTTTCTGTTCCTTCTATGTTTCTCACCCACCTTTCCCTCCCTCCAATCTCATCAGGGAGATTCCAGAGATTGAAGATCAAGATGTCTCACAAGACTCTCACGGTACGTGTTTAACTCCTACACTTCTTCTGGAAGCTTCTGACTGGCCCCATTCTAGGAGCACCTGGTCCTCACTGGAGAAACAGCCTGTCTGCTCTGCTCTTGTTGTAGACAGTGAGTGCTCCATTGTGAACGGGAACACTCCACTGGTCTCCCAGGTGGCCTCTGTAGTCTTGGGTTGCTGCACCTGTGTTGGGTGAGACAGACCACTGTGCACTCAGGCCCTGGGCACTTATCTCAGTCTGGATGTGGTTCTTGGGTGGAGTTTGCTCATAGTCATCCAACAGGGGAATCCCTTGGCTGTCACCAGGCCCACTTTCAAGGCGCAGCTTTTGACGTCAAGACAGGGAAGGAGGGGATAGTGTCTAAACTCGGCATTTTTTTCTCCTGTAAAGCCTCCATAAGGTTTCTTGAAGAAGTCACTGTGATGTTCTTAATTTTAACAACAGTTGCAATTGTAAACAGCATCCTCCAAACTTCTCAGGCTTAAAGCTTTGGCAGTCTGTATGATGTTTCCTTAGTTATCTGACACTAGGTATCCTTGGTTGGCAGACTCTGTTTTCTCTGAAGCAGCTTGGTGCTAACCACAGCAGTCCAGTCCCGCACCTGTGTCCATGGTGTGGTTTTCATCTTCTGCTTTACAGCACTGATTTGTGCTCATATGAGGTCTGTAGTTTTAATCCAGTGTCTAAACTCGGCATTTTTTTCTCCTGTAAAGCCTCCATAATCTTGCACCAGGACAGGAATCTATTCAGTATCTGAGTGAGGCTGAGGGGTCCCTCACGTCATCACAGGCAGAGTGCCTCTTGTTGAGTAGGAGCCTTGAAGTATTGCTTCATGGGGGGGGAGGCAGAGAAAAAGTCCAATTTCCTTGAATCTGATCTTCAATGAGGTTTTACACTTTCTCTCAGCAAGAATCACTCATCAAATCATTCAGTAGGAAAATCACGAAATCCTGATGCCCTTCCGTGTTTCTCAATGTTCTGCAGTAGAATTGGCAATGACAGTTGTCCCCCCAGTGCTATAGATCAGCAGGCACCTTTTCTTGGTGAGACCATGCGCTTTTCCTCTGTACAGATGTACAGAGATGTGCAGAGTCATCCCAGGACACAGCGATTCACACCCAGCTATGAAGGCCACTCTCATGGGCATCTGTGCTGTGCTAGACCCTGTGCCATCCTGATCCATGCAACCCTCACTGGACCTCTCCTGGTGGAGATTCTGTCCCCACCTTGGGGAGAGGATCCTGAGGCTCAACAAGGTCACTCTCCCAGGTCACCCCACCTTGTGTGCATTGCAATCAGAGACCACTCCTTGGCCTACCCCTTGTCTGTAGGCTCAGTCCACTTGTTTTCAGCAGACATGCCAGCGAGGTGGCTGCTATGGGTACTCACACTTAAAACTTTTCTTCTGTAACAAATTGTGTTGAGAGAATTTCAAATATCAGTAGAAAAGTTCTGGTCTGCAAACAAGAACTTCTAAAGGCCCTGCACAACATCTCCCACTAGGAAGGCATCGGTGTGCTTCGTCCCTGAGCAGGGTCAGCACCTCATTGAGGTTCTCAGATAGAACTCCAGCTCAGGAGTGCCCCATGGCCTGAGAGTTCCTGGTCTCTCCCCTCGGGCTTTTTTCACTCAGTGTCCCAGTGAGGCCTTGAACTTGTCTTTGCCACAGACTAGTGCTTGTGTGGCTTTGTCTCAGAAACACCCAGTGCCAGGGCTGGGAAGTCATGAGGAAGCAGGCAAGTGCACAACACTGCCTCAGGAGGGAGATGTGTGTGCTAGGCCAAAGCAATGCCTTACCTCCCACCTGGGATTTCTTCCTGACTTTTGTGTTTCACCTTAGCTTGTCTCTCCATTCTTCAGGTGCCTGTAACTAGGTTCCCACTTCAACTGACCAGAAAATGATGGCCACATCATGTATATTATTATCTATATGACAGACACTGAAGGCATATATCCTATGAATCGATGTGCTTGGTGTTTGTTCAGCAAAGCATGTGCATGTATGAAATGCATGTGTTCTTGTGCTAGATGTGTCCATTCCAGCTGTTAGTGGTCCCCTGTCCTTGTCTCTCATTACAATGCCCTCCAGGTTAGATGATCCTGCTCCATCCCCCCAAACCTTCAACAGATATCCAGTGTGGTTTCTGTGCCTTAAAAGCTTAAGAGCTGTGTGTTTTATTAGTTCAACTTTGTTGAATATTGTGATCATCTGAGCCATGTTTATTACTTTTGCCTAGTGATAAATTATCAGTGAGTATGTATAAAATCAACCCAAATGAAAACATTTTAGTGTCTGTGCAGATTTCATCTCCCACTTCAGACAAGACTGTCCAGGGCCCCTTTCCTTACTTGTTGTCCCTCTGCTGCAGGCCTGACTGCCAGAGAGAGAGCATGAATACCAATCCTGATGGCTGTGGTTCTATTTCAGAACTGAGTTTTGTTGATGCCCCTGAGAGGAAGACCCGTTCCCAGCTGGAGGGAGGTCCTCACAAAGATCCCATCACCAGCAAGAGTGAGAGTCATAGCATCAGCCCCAGTGATGTCCCAAGTACCCCAAAAGAAAATGTTATCAAAGGAAAACAGAAGCCCAGGAAATGCAAACTGGCCTGCCGGTTCCCTGGCCTGGAGATGAAGGGAAAACCACAGCCCACAGAGAGGAAGATTGCGTGCCGATTCCCTGGCCAGGAGATGAAGGGAAAACCACAGCCCATGGAGTGCCACCTCGCATGGAGATTCCCTGACCAGGAGATGAAGGAAAAACCACAGACCAACATGTGGGCACTGACCTTCAGATTCCTGGGCCTTCACGCCTAGACAGAGGTAATCCTGTGTGTGTGTCTTAGATGTACTTGTTCCTTCTTACACTGGGAACAGATTATAGCTCATTTCTGTTTGTTCAGATAGGGTAGAACTGTAACCTCTCTGTTTGGATCAATAATTGGAAATAGAAGATACAGTAAGAAATCCTTGTCATGTAGAAACCTGACCCACAAAATAGAATACCTCCCCTCATAATCAAGTTAAAATGTTTACAGTTGAACTTCTCTCCCTAAAACATGCTGTTCACCATCCACTCACTTGATTGCAAGCCCTCTATTGGGTTGAGAAATATACATTGAACAATCACATTTTATCTAATCTTGTTCCTAGGCCAATTTCCAATGCGGATTCTTAGGTCTCATTCTCCAATGTTTGTCCTTCCCTCTGACCGGTATACAAACAGGATATTCTCAAAAAGAAAATTTCTTAGGGGAACTGAAAAAAATGGGGAAACTCTAGGATGACTAAAGAGTGCCTGTTTTAAAGTTAATGTTCCCTTCAGAGTCGAGTGAGTGAGCTATTAGGCACACAGCAGAATGGTCCTAGGTGTAACTAGATGTGGAATCATCTTCAGAGAAACTTGGTGTCTGTTCTATTGACATGAGTTGTGCTGTGGTTACACTCCCGGCTCTCTTTGCTTACTGCAGAAAACTAATCCATTTCTAATGCACCAGAGAGCAGGAGGAATTGGGGTGACATCACCCACTCCTGGTTAGGAGAGGCCAAGGGCCCTGGTTCCCCAGCACTGCAGAGCTTGGCTGGAGTTCAGGGCAGGACTCTGCTCATTTGGCTGCCACTTCCCTCTCAGCAGCCCAGGGCTCCCCTTCAGCCAGTCTCCCCACTGGAGCTGAGTTTGCCTGGCCTCTGCCCCACTGCGGCCCAGATACAGGCTCAGCTCTCACCTGGACCTGACCCAGCTCTCCTTTGATTTTTCTTCTCTCCCTCTTTCAGATCCCAAGTACAGTTGGAAGTACAGAACAGTATTGCTGATTGTAACATCCCCACCTCTTCCAAACATCTACCACAGGAGCTCCACTTCAACAGCAACCAGAACACCAAGAACGCAATTTCAACACCATGAACTGTCCTCGGCTATTTTTATCCACTAGCCTGCTTCCCTGAGAGCTGGCACAGTCTTCAACTCCAATCCGAGTAAACACCTAAGGAGACCCAGGCCTGACTGCACAGCTGCTCTGGAGAGAACACAACCTGGCTCCTCTCCAACTGCCTCCTGTAGAGATCTGAGGTCAGGAGGAGCTGGAAGCAAACAGCATAGGACTCTGGGCACACACTGCCTTTGGATGGGGCGAGCTCAGTGTGGGCAGTGTCAGAGACACAGCACCCTGCACACAAGGCTGCATGTGAGCAGAGGAGAGGATAGGACTCTGCAGGACATGGACCCTGACCCAGACAGCTGGCCCTCTCCTTCACACAGCCAGCATCCGCATAGAGGACAGCAGGAGGAGGAGACTTTGGGGCTCAAAAGGACAGGAAGGGTCTCTTTCCTCCTTTTGAACCCCAACCATCTCCCTCTTCTGCTGTCTTCCATGATGGGAACGCTGACTGTGTGAAGGCGCAGGCCAGGTGTCTGGCTCGGGGTCTGCATCCTGAGGATCTCTGATGCTTTCCTCAATTTTACACTCAGCCTCACTCTTTGGCCAAGCACCTGATGCAGGGAGTGCCATGTGCTCCCTCCCACACCCCCGCAGGAGGCAGAGAACATCTTGTGTGCCCATCAGGTCCCCTGACCCTGGCATCGGTCAGTTGGTGAAAGCTGTCTGTTGATCTGTACATCCTAAAGATGCGCTCCTTCCTCTGTATCCTAACAACTGTGGAGAAGGTGACCCCTCAGAGCCTGAGCAAAAAGGGAGTGAGCAGCAGCCCTGGCGGAGGTCCAGTCATCAACCCAGGAGGTGGCTGTCGATGGGCGTGATAACAGCAAGTTCATGGTGATGAATGCAGCAGTGTGGCCAGAAGGGGCCAGGTGGGTGAGGTGGACTGAGCCTGCATCAAGGAACCAGACACCTCTCTGAACACTCCTCTCTCCACGTCCAGAGTCAGGCAGCACAGATGCGGGCAGGACCTTGTCATGGGGACGCTCATCTCCTACAGCTGCTGGTCCTGCCAACTCCACTCAGTGTTGCAGGAGAACTGGGGGCTCCTGATGCAGGATGTGGG